CAAGTTTGAATTTGTTCATTTGGAATTTTCGTGTGACTGTAAAATCAAATTACATAAATATGACTATCTATAGTTTATGTATTATGTAAAAATAAAGAATATGCAAAAAAAAAAAAAAAAAAAAAAAAAAAAAAAAAAAAAAAAAAAAAAAATTTACACCCGACCTTGAATAATTAGTAGTTCATATGTTAAATTGAATTAATATATATTAATTTGTGACCAATTGTTATAATTGTAACGTGTGCCCAAGTTATGACTTGAATTCAATTTAGTACTCAAATGGGAAGCTATACGACTCAACTCCAACATAATGGCTCTCCAAAAAAAAAAAAAAAAAATACCTAAATACAAAAAAAAAAAAAAATGAGATTCAAAGAAAATATATCGATTCCATAACATATAAACATATATAAATATGTTATTTGATCATTTGTTAATGAGAGTTACGAACAAAGAAGATAGGATATTTTTTTCTTGAGCAAATAGCAACAATTTTCATCCAAATCTGAAATTTATCACTAGAATTTTACATCATACTCCCCATTAATCTTTCCAGTAAAACAATAAATATATTTCCCTCCAAAACCCAAATGTAAGCATTCGTTTCACATGCACCTAACTCCTCCTCTCCAATTTATGATTAAGTGAAACTTAAACTTGACTATTTTTTGAATATGTTAATAGGGAATTCAATAATTTCATCACAAGAGAACTAATATTACTATCAAGTTCTCCATTGTCTTTATATGACAATTACTGTTATTGTGTAAATTTCACTTGAATCATGCTTGATGTAAAGGGCCATTGGCCCTATACTACCAAGGGGGCCATTACAACCATTATAATCCATTTCACTTGCTCTTTCCAGTATGTTTATATTTATCAATATTTCATGACTCCCCACACTTCTTATAATAGCAATATCCTCTATAATTCCTTAAACAAACTCCTATTAATCTTCCCTGTACAAAAATAAATTTCTTTCCCCTAAAACCCTAAACTTAATCCCCAAATGCAAACCTTCATTTCACAAGCATCTAAACTCTTTCCCTTCAAACTCCAGAACCTATGCATTCTCAAACAAGTCTAACCCGATCCATGTCACAATCCACATCCATACCCTGGAAGTAGATCCGAGTCCGAGACCACGTCTACAACAACTACATGGAAGTCGAGAATAATATGCGGAAAGTCCTCAAGTTCCAGGATTTGATCCTTTCCAAACCCAACAGCATGCTATCCGTTTCCCAACTTGATATGCACTCCTGCCGAAAATTAAAGAGAAAATTTCCAATTCTTGAATTACCTCACTAAAGCGCTCAAAACTCTATCACCTTGATACTCGCTCTTTATTGGTTGCAAAATAAGGTCTCTTTGGCCTTTTATATTCCATCTCCTTATTATGGGTGGTAAAAATTTATCATATGTAAAGGTTGGTGAAGACTCGCTAAACATTTTTAAGATATTTACTTGTGAAACTTGTAGAAACATTATCTCTACAACATTTTATACATATCTCCACAACTTACTATAAGATTCCAAATATTAATATATAGCTCGCATGCTGACTAATAACATGGTCTTGAAATTGTAAATTCTCTCATCGGTCACACACTCCAGGGCATCAAAGTTAGCCCCCAGTGCAACTGATGTGCACGAAACTCTACTTTCCATAGCTAACAAATATATATACTGTCAAGGATCAAGCCTTAATCCCAGCATTCTCATTGACAGATTCTCATCCTCAATCCCAGCATTCTCATTGATAGATTCTCAGCCTCAATCTCAGCATTCTCATTGACCCATAATTGTAGCCTTCCACTTTGTCTGCTCAATTCTTTCATTCAATTGTATTATTTCCATTTCATTGTAATCATCCCATATACAATCATGTAAATGTGGATATAAATATGATATCAACTCACCACTAGAAAGTGTGGTGATTTTCAAACACTTTTATGGTATCAGAGCACACTACGGATTAACATCCCTCATACGATCCTATCTTCCTATCTCCATTTATGTGGATGTTGAATCCTCCTCCAACCTTCTTCCTTTCAATACCCTTATCCACATGGTTACAATCAAACTCTCATCTTCCAATTATCTCCTATGGAAGAGCCAATTACTTCCCCTTTTAGAGAGCCAAGATCCAATCGGGTATGTGGATGGAACTATAGAAGCTCCACCCCGTTTTACCCCTGAAAATTCTCAGACACCAAATATCAAACGTGTGGCATGGAAACAAACTTATAAACTCCTCCTCGGTCTTCTATTGTCCTCTCTCATCGAAGAAGCCATGACAGAAATGGTGGAACTCTCTACTTTACGTGAGGTGTGGGTTGCCTTAGAGAACACCTTCACCCACCGCTCCAAGGCCCGTGAAATCCGTCTCAAAGATGATTTGTAGCTGATGAAATGAGGCACCAGGTCTGTTTCGCAGTATGTCGCGCCTTCAAAGCCCTATGCGATCAACTCCACGCAATTGGACGACCATCGACGGTACTGGCAAAGGGCATTAGTTTCTCCGAGGTCTGGGGTCAGAATTCTTGACCTTCTCCATGGCCCAAATGGCTCTTACTCCTCTGCTAAGTTTTCCAGATCTTGTGCCAAAAGCAGAGAGCTTTGAGCTTTTTCAAAAATCCCTGGAGCCAGCTGCACCGTCTCCCGTAGTGCTCACAACAACCAATCGCTACCCTGCGAAGATAAATCAGCGAAACTCCTCTTTTAGCAACCAACACAGTCGAACTAGCAGCCATGGACGAGGACAAGGATGCTTTCCCAGCAGACGACCCTTGCACTGCCAAATTTGTTGTGCAGAGGGTCACTATGCAAACCGGTGCCAACAACGGTATGACCGCCATGGTCATACCCCCGAGGATCAACTTGCAAAAGCCCTCAATTCTTTATGCACCATCTTTGAACATAAGGCCTCTGATTGGTATTTAGATACAGGGGCCTCAGCCTATATGACTCCAGCCCAAATTTTCTTAGACCAGTCCACTTCTTATATGGGTAAGGATTGTGTTATAGTCAGAAATGGTGCCTCCCTACCCATAACCCATATTGGTAAACTCTCCAATTCTATTTTCAACTGTTAGATGCTTTGGTTGTTCCTCACATCACTAAAAATCTTTTGTCCATTAGTAAATTAACGATTGACTTTCTGCTATCTGTTTCATTCACTAATAATTTTTTCACTGTTCAGAATTGCTAAACGGGAAAGGTGGTGGCAACCGGTAAACGAGATGGTGGGCTATATGTGATAGAACGTGGCGATTCGACTTTTATTTTTGTCCTAAAAAATAAATCTCTTCATACTTCATAGGATTTATGGTATGCTCACCTTAGACGTGTGAATTACTCTGTTATTTCTTTTCTAAATAAAAAAAGACCGCTTTCTCTTACCTCCTTATTGTCATCCCTGTGTTATGTAATACATGTCAAATTGCAAAGAATCATCGTCTACCCTATTCTCATAATGAACATCGATCTTCAAAAGTATTAGAACTTATTCATTGCAATCTATGGGGCCCATCTCCCGTGGAATCAAATTTGGGTTTCGCATATTATGTTCTATTTATTAACGATTATTCTTATTTCACTTGGCCTTACCGATTAAAATTGAAATCTGACTTCTTTGATACTTTTATTCAATTTCAAACGTTTGTGGAAAATCAACATTCTGCTCATATAAAAAAAAAATTAAGTGACTGTGGTGTAGAATTCACTAGCAACTGCTTTAAAGCACATCTTAGTACCTGCGGTATTCATCATCAACTCTCTTGTCCTTGTACACCTGTACAAAATGGTCATGCCGAACGAAACATCGTCATGTTACTGAAATAGGTCTGACTCTACTTTTCCACTCTTATGTTCCTACTCATTTCTGGATTGACGCTTTTAGCACTACGGTTTACATCATCAACCCCTTGCCCACACCGCTTCTCAAAGGTAAGTCACCCTTTGAGCTTTTATACAATTCATCTCCCAATTATGAAAACTTTCATCCATTTGGTTGTCACGTTTATCCTTGCTTACGTGATTACATGACTAACAAGTTCTTCCATCATAGCATTCCTTACATTTTTATTGCAAAGGTTTTCGTTGTCATGACCCTACTACCTCCAGAATTTATATCACTCCTCATGCCCAATTTAATGAAAACCAATTTCCTTTCCAACATACCTCACAAGCCCAGCCCATATCCTCTCTCCAAATCTCAAATTTTCTGGAACCAAATCCCCTTCCCACAAACATATCCCCACCTTCTCCTGCACCACATTTTCGACATATTCCTCAATTTGGATCCATCCCGTATATTCTTTGTACCGATCCAGTGGAAGAGTCTTTGCAGACAACTAATACAGGTCCATCTCTATCACAATTGGATGTCAGACCAACTTCTCCGGAGCCTATCATTGAATTGCCTATTGTTGATCGCACTCCTATTGCGGCTACTCCATTGGGTTCCCATCCTATGCTCATACGAGCTAAAGCTGGCATCTTCAAAACGTGCCACCCAGCGAATCTCGGACTTGTGGGTTTCTCTGGCCTTCTTCATGCTCTTTTTACATCTACTGAGCCTAAAGGATTCAAATCTGCTGCTAAGAATCCCGCTTGGCTCACTGCCATGGATGAAAAAGTTCAAGCCCTACAAAACAATCGCACCTAGATTTTGGTTCCTCACCCCCACCAATACCAACATTGTGGGTTCCAAATGGGTGTTTCGAACCAAATATTTGCCCGATGGATCTATCGAGTGTCTCAAAGCCCGTCTTGTAGCCAAGGGCTACACACAAGTACCTGTTGTTGACTAAACTGATACTTTTAGCCCTATCATCAAGGCTACCATAGTCCGTGTTGTACTCTCTCTTGCTGTGCCAACAAATGGCCTCTTTGACAACTTGATGTTAAAAAAGCGTTCCTAAATAGCCATCTCACTGAACATTTTTATATAGAATAACCTCCTGGGTACATTGACCCATACTTTCCTAATCATGTTTAGTCAGTTGCAGAAAGCTCTATATGGTCTAAAGCAAGCCCCTCGTGCTTGGTTTCAACGTCTCGGCTCTTTTCTCATTCAACTTGGTTTTTATTGCAACCGTTCAGACACGTCGCTATTCATTTTTCATAAGCACTCTAACATAATCTATTTGCTTCTCTATGTTGATGAAATCATTATTATAGGCAACAACTCATCTCTCCTAGCTACCTTTACTTGGAAACTCAATTCTGAGTTTGCCACCAAAGATTTAGGTCTTCTCAGCTACTTCCTTAGTCTTGAGTCTACAACCACCTCTGATGGCCTCTTCATCAGTCAATTGAAATATGCACGAGACATTCTCACACATGCCCAGCTACTTGACAGCAAACTTGTTCATACCCCCATGGTAATACTCCAAACCCTATCTGTTGATGGTCTTTTGTTCTCGAATCCTACACTTAACAGATCTCTTATTGGTGCTCTCCAATATTTGACCATCACCCGTCCAGATATTGCTCATGCTGTCGACTCTGTTAGTCAATTTCTCCACTCTCCGACTGAAGACCATTATCTTGCTGTCAAATGCATTCTTCACTATGTTAAAGCCACGTTGCATTTTGGGCTCATTTTTATCCCATTCTTTGCTCCTGGTACTTTAGTTGCTTACTCAGATGCAGATTGGGCAAGCTGCCCCGATACTCGTTGCTCTACCTCTGATTACTCTATTTATCTTGGCGGCAATTTGGTTTCTTGGAGTGCTAAGAAGCAACCTACCGTTTCTCGCTCCAGTTGTGAATCTCAGTATCGTGCTTTAGCTCTCACTGTTGCTAAACTTCTTTGGCTCACACATCTTCTCAGTGACCTCAAAGTATTAATTCTACAAAGGCCTCTCCTTCTATGTGACAACAAGAGCGCCATCTTCTTAAGCTCCAATCCAGTTTCTCACAAACGGGCCAAGCATGTTGAACTTGACTACCACTTTCTTCGTGAACTTGTTCTCGCTGGCAAGCTTTGTACCCAGTACATGCCTTCTCATTTGTAAGTTGCTGACATCTTTACTAAAAGTATGTCTAAACCTCTATTTGAACTCTTTCGATCCAAGCTTCACGTACGCTCAAATCCGACGCTCAGCTTGAGGGCGAGTGCCAAGGATCAAGCCTTAATGCTAACATTCTCATTGATAGATTCTCAGCCTCAATCCCAGCATTCTCATGGACCCATAATTGTAGCCTTCCACTTTGTCTGCTCAATTCTTTCATTCAATTGTATTATTTTCATTTCATTGTAATCATGCCATATACAATCATGTAAATGTGGATTTAAATATGATATCAACTCACCACTAGAAAGTGTGGTGATTTTCAGACACTTTCATATATCATAGATTGTTTATAAAGTAAACTTGCCTATGACATTAGTATATAAGAATGAAGAGGTAAAAGTGTTAGATTTGAGGTGGAAAATCTTTGTATGGATTTGAGTCAAGAATGAACCAAAGCTAGGTGCAAAGAACTAACCAGACTAACCTAGTGGAGAAATTATGGATTAAAAAAATAAAAATTGAGTAGAAAATGCAATTGTATTATAAGGCCGCAATTAAATAAATCGTGACAATTGAAGTAGAAGAGTCATGGTTGAAAAGAGGTCCTCACTTCTTTCTATCATACAAAACTATGCATGAGACTTTCATCTCACACTTAAGGTACAGCGTGTTCCACTTTTTGATTTTGCATCAAGGGGTTGTGTGACAGGAGTGAGCGACCCTAGAAATAGCTAGCCTCTTACATTGTTAACATGGAGGAAGAGTGAAAGAAATTTTGTAGAGATCTTTGGATGAAATGTAAAATTAAAACTTATATGGTTAATCTTTCCCACCTAACCTTGGGTATTAAATTTTAATTCAAAAAAATCAGACCAAACAAAGAAGAAAACAATTTTTGTAGAATGTTAACATTGAGCCAAAATAGCATTGAATGTGCTAAAATTTGAAAATTAACACAAATATTAATAATGTTGATTTTCTTTGACATGTAATATTAAAAGAGGAAATAAATTTTAAAAATATGTTAATAGTACAATCTAATATCATATATTAAACAATACTTAATATCAAATTTTTATATATTATCTTTTTTCTTCAATTTGGGAATAATACATAAATCCTACATAAAAGAAACACATTTCAAACTAATAGACTCCACAAAACTTTTCAAAAATCAGTTGATAATTTATTAAAATTTTAAGTATAATATAATATAATTAATCACATAAAATTTCAAATCAAATCCCTTCTCTTTCTGTGTTTCTATCATTTCCCTACCCTTTTTTCCCAACGAAGGTGGCCATTGCTCGGATGATTGCTCCGACCACCACTCCTGCGATCGCTCCGATGATAATTCCGACTTCGACGAAAGAAAAATTTCCAAAAATTGAAAGCAATCACTCTCTATACTCCACTGTAGAAAAATCTCCAAAAAATTATTTGTGATCATATTTATTGTTCGTGACTGTACCTGTGTTTCATGTGACTATTTGTGATCAAATTTATTTTCGATGTGACTATATGTGACCATCTAATTTGTAACTGTATATAACAAATTCACTGACCTATGTTATCTGTGATTAAGCGTGACCAAATTTATCTTTGATGCGACTAACTGTAATCAAATTTGCATTTAATATGACTGTTTGTGACCAAGTCAATCTTTAACTATGACCAAGTCACAATCGGTCATAATGAACAAAAAATTGGTCATAAATAGTCAAAACAAACACATACCTGGTTACATAGGGTAACCACAAATAAATATGCACACACCTCAAACTAATATTATAATCCACCAACCACCACCACTAGACCATTAGCATCACACCATCATCAGAACCACCACCAACCACCATTGAACCTTAAAGACTGCCATCAACTAGAAATTTTAACCATAAAATTTCCCAAACCAAAAAAAAAAAAAAAAAAAAAGGATTTTAACCATCCCAAATCCAAAAGTAACAAACACGTGGTGTGCATCCTTTTGCAATTTCTTCAAGCACCATTGGACCACCGTCCAAACCAGCCGATCCCCAGATCTACAATCCCAAGCACCCACCATCTCAACCAGTCACTCCGTAGATTTGTTGTCGGACCACAACCAATCTAATATATCATTACCATCGCACTCATTTTCAAAAATCAAACCACCCCAAGCATTATCTAAACTCGTGTACGACAATTTTGCTCTCGCATAGCAACAAATCTTTGCAGACATCTGCTTCTTCTTGCGATTTTGCTCCGCCTAGGGGTTTAGAAGGGGGCGAACAAATTAATTGTAGAGACCAGAGAGAGAGGATGAAGAGTGTGGTAAAGAGAGACAGAGCATAGAGAGAAAGATACTGAGTGGAGGCTGGGTTTGGGATAAAATCGACGTGGTGGGGTGGGGGTTATTATCTGGATTAAGGTTTAATTAATTTTTTAATCACAATTAATAATCCTATTTATCACCTCAAATTCGAAATTTAAACTTAACCACCTTAATTATGAAAAGTAATCTTTAATTGTAGGGTTCTAAGTAATTTTCTTAATCTTCATAGATATATATATATAACCAACTCATTATCTATACAATTAGCTTTATTTTTGTAAATCTCACTTACAAGAAGTTGTGTTATTCAAGAAGTCTACGTTAGTGCTATTTGTGTAAATTTCACTTAGGATCCGTTTGATTGTAAAGATGGAATTTGGATGGAAGGAAAACGAATTTTAGGGAATTGAATTGCCTATAAATTGTTTTCTTGAGAATGGTAAATTATTATGTTTGATTGTTCAAAAAAAAAAATTGCTACAATACCCGAGAAAACATATTCCCACCATATAGGTGAGAATTGATTTTCCATGAAAACCAAGAAAATTTCAATTTTCAAGGAAACCAAAAAATGCAATTCCGTGGAAAAGAAAAACTATCAAACACCATTAAAATGGAAGTAGGAATTGATTTTCCATTTTCTAGGAAAAATTTTCATGCATCAAACATACCCTTAATGTTTCCGGAATGTATATTTTCAATATTTCATTTCTCGCCACGCGTCTTATAATTACAATATCCCCTATAATTTCTACTCTTCTACAACAATAAATTCCTTTCCCTAAAACCCTAACCCTAATCCCCAAATGCAAACCTTCATTTCCCAGACAAAACTCTTCCCCTCCAAACTCCAGCACCTATGGATTCTCCAAACAAGTCTGACCCGATCCATGTCACAATCCACATCCATACCCAGGAAGCAGATCCGGGTCCGAGACCACGGCTACGACAACTACATGGAAGTCGAGAAGAAAGTACGGAAGGTCCTCAAGTTCCAGGATTTGATCCTTTCCCAACCCAACAGTATGCTATCAGCTTCCCGACTTGATATACTCTCCCGCCGAATCGGGTTCAAGCAATTTGAAGCGGGTCGGTTTATCCTCAAGTTCCCGCACGTATTTGAGGTGTTTGATCATCCTGTTCAGCGAATACTCTACTGCAGACTGACAAGAAAAGCTATTTCTCAAATTGATCAAGAAAATCGCGCCCTTTTGGCCCAAATCCCCGACGCAGTTACCCGGCTAAGAAAATTGTTGATGCTCTCGAACACGGGCCGTATCCGCTTGGAGCATGTCCGCATTGCGCGCAGAGAATTTGGTTTGCCTGATGACTTTGAGTACTCGGTAGTTCTAAAGCACCCTCAGTTTTTTCGATTGTTTGATTCTGATGAGACTAGGAATAAGTATATTGAGATTGTAGAAAAGGATGGGAATTTAGCTGTATGTGCCATTGAGAGGGAGAGGGAAAAGGAGTATAGAGAAAAGGGTGTTGATGCAGAGAATATCCGTTTTTCGTTTATTGTGAATTTCCCGCCTGGATTTAAGATTGGAAAGTATTTTAAGATTGCTGTGTGGAAATGGCAGAGGCTTCCGTATTGGTCGCCATATGAGGATATTTCTGGATATGATTTGAGGTCGCTGGAAGCTCAGAAGCGGATGGAAAAGAGGGCAGTGGCAATGATTCATGAGTTGGTGTCTTTGACTGTGGAAAAGAAGATGACTTTGGAGAGGATAGCTCATTTTCGGATGACAATGAATTTGCCAAAGAAGTTGAAGGAGTTCTTGCTCCAGCATCAGGGGATCTTTTACATTTCAACTAGGGGGAATCACGGGAAGTTGCATACGGTGTTTCTGAGGGAAGCATATAAGAAGGGCGAGTTGGTTGAGCCGAATGATTTGTACTTGGCAAGGAGAAAGTTGGCAGACCTGGTACTGCTGAGTCCAAGGAAAGTGATAATGGACCAGGAGTTGGTTAATTATAGAAGGGATGGAGAGGAAGACAATAGAAGAATGTTTAAGTTTGAAGATGATTTTGAAGCCAGAGAAAGTGGAAAACAAGATGAGGGGATTCTGGAAGATACCTATGGCGATGATGATCACGAGGATGTTTCTGATTACTCTGACGAGGACAACGAATGTAACGAGTCTGAATCGGAAAATGCTCGTTTGACAGAGTGACTCTAAATTATACACGGTCATCCACTTGTTTGTGAGGTTGCCGTGGACTGAATTAAGGAAGAAAATGAATCTGTCCAGCATTATCTAATATTTTGCCCCAAATGTGCCAAAGTGGCTTAACAGACCAAGAAGTCATCTGATGCAGATGAAATTTGTATCACAATCTTTAATACATGCAACTGAATTGGATAGACGACATGCTCAACGGAGACTAATTATATGCCTGGATGCCCTATTGAGGCAAGTCTCTCAGTTGATTATTAGAAGTATTTTTCAAGATTGCTTTGTCATCGATTATTCCACATCAACACTATACCTCCTGCAAACATGACTGTCCTCTTCGATGGAGATCTCATACGTGGCAGGATTAAACTGTAAGATGGTCTTGATGGCTTTCTCAATAGGCCAACTTTTGCAACAAGGATAGTACTTGACTAATTATCATCCAAATGAGACGGTGATAGAATTTTGAATTAATTTTTGCAAACATATGTGTTAAGGTTGTTTCATAAAATATTGAACTGGTGCTGTCACTGAACTGAAGCAGGGGAATTGCAATTTGCAAGAGATGGTATGTTTTGAAATGTTTCTCTGACAGATATTTGATGAAGACTGATATCTTCAGAGACGAATTAGGAATTTAGACATTTATCATGAAGAAAGTTCATTGAAGGTCGCTTAAATATTGAAATGGAGATCGTGAAAATTTGGGTCATCGGGAAAATGATTGATTATAGTTGAATGCCATATTAACACGTTTTGTTTTGTAGGAAAGTTTCTGTGGCACTTGACTCTATTGAAGAAGGAAAAAAGTTAAAATCTTGATGGTCAGTTGTGTCAATACAAAATCAAGCAGTCAGTGACATTATTTTGACTCTTACAAGTTAAATCAGTTTTCCTCTGATTGTTGTGGGAAAATCTTGTATGTGCACATCAAAGTTTTAGTAAATTGTCACTGGGTTCTGGTAAAAGTGACAAACAAAAGGAAGTCTCTTAGTTGTTATTCTTTTATTGTGTATCCCAAGTAACACACTGTGTGAATGTTTGCTATGTAATAGTCGATAGGATTGTAATGTACAGATAAACATGATTTTAGCTTTCTTTTTTTGTCTTTAATATTTGGATAATGAATAAGGATGACTATAGTCTCATCTATCAGTATGGTGAAAGGAATGTAATTTGCAAATATAAAACATGTCTACTATTTTAACTCCATTGATTGACAAAATAAAATAATTATGCTACTTGTACATAAAAATTATGTATAAGAGATTATATGAAATGATGTGAATGGAAAAGATTGAATGAAAAAAGTTGATTGTGTTTTAAACTGACAAATGATAAGAGTGATATATGATCAGGGGCGGAGCCAGGAATTACTATTACGATGGGCTAAAAATTTAAAAATTTTAATGTACGAATAAAATTTATATATAATAAGAAAAATTTATAATATAAGTTACCTATTGAAGTTGTACTCGGTGATGTTTTACAGCATAAAATTCATCTATAATAAAATATAGATCTAAATTCATACTAAATTCTCGTTCAATGTTGAGTGTTGAACAATCAGCAAGAAAATCATCATCCATTTTGTTATGAATTTTCGTCTTCACATGTTTCATTGCTGAAAAAGCTCACTCCATAGTCGCCGTTGAAACAGGTGGTGTCAGTACTAAACAAATCAATTTAGTCAAAATGGCGTAACTCTCCGACTTTCTACTTGCAACTAATTCCCGACATAAGTGAGAAAGTGTAGGTACTTGAAATCGAGGTTCAGAAATCACAACATTTTAATAGTTTTTCAACTCATCTTTCAAACAATAAATATCTTGCTGTTTAAAATTTTCAGGATAAAACTTCTCTGCATGCTTGCAAATATTATCCATATTAAATGATTCAAAAGAATTTTTTGGATCCAAAGTTGTACTGAGAGAAAGGAACTCTATTGATGTCTCATTAAATCTTGTATCTAACTCCATCATCTGAAAGTCAATGGCTGCATTGAAAATATCAAAGTGGTAATGATGTTCAATGGTAGGATACTCACGACCACAAGAATGACCAACCATATACGAACCATCAAAGCCAGGTACATGTATATCATTTTTTGAGCAAAAACATTTCACATCTTTAAGAAATTCTTCCCAACCATCTTCTCTCAATGCTTGAAGGATAGTTTTTGTAGTACAGACAAATCTCATAGCAGTTAAGATGTTTTGAGTTTTCTTTTGAAGGGACTGACAAAGAACATCCGCAATTGCTAATATTCTACGCATTAAATGCAAAATAAATACAAATTCAAATGTTGTTATGGTTTTGTATATACCACCAACTTCGGATCGAGATCTTGTACTTGGAGAATGATCACTAAGATACTCAAGCACCTTGTAAGTTGCATCATACATATCAATCAAACTCTTTACAGAGCTGTAATGAGAAGACCAATGAGTACTTCCGGCTCATTGCAAATTACCAATCTGATTAGCACTACTTCCGGACTCTCGTTCTCCAATTTCTAACAAATGCTCAATTTCTTTTCTTTGGGTACTTTTCAACTCATTGATGCGTTTAGGAGATGATGTAATCATATTAATAACATTGTCCAAATGAGAAAAAAATGAATTAATATCTAAGACATCCTTAGCTGCAGAAACCAATGTGAGTTGTAAACGATGGAAAAAACAATGAACATAGTATGCATATGGACAATCTTTAAGAAATAATGCCTGCAGTCCATTCTAAGAACCACGCATATTCTTAGCACCATCATACCCTTGGCCTCTCATGTTTTGCACTTGAAGGTTGAAAAGAACAAGAACATCAGAAATCTGATTCTTAAGATTTAATGAGGTAGTGTCACTAACACTTTTAATTGCAAAAAATCGTTCTATCAAAATTCCATTACTGTTCACAAACCTCAGGATAATAGCCATTTGTTCTCGTGAAGATTCATCTCGTGCTTCATCAACAAGAATACTAAACTTTGCATTCCCAATTTCCGTACGAATTTCTTGTCGTACTCTATTGGCCATAATGCTTAAAATTTCTTTTTGAATGTCTGGAGATGTGTATGTAGCATTTTTGGGAGCATTACTCAACACAATTTTTCCTACTTCAATATTCATTTTTGCAAATGTATCCACAAATTCAATAAAATTCCCACGATTCAATGAAGATTGAGATTCGTCATGGCCTCTAATGGAACAACCTTGAAGAGCAAACCACTTAACACTCATAATAGTGGTCTTTAGACGTAAACGATTTTTCTGTTTTTCCTCATTTGATACAGAATGCATTACCTTGTCAATATGTTGAGTTGGTTTCATTAGATCTTCAGCTCTTCTCTTATAGCCATTATGAAACGATATGATGTTGTACCAACATGAATAAGAAATGCACATTTACTTCCTTGGTTAACCCTCTTCCAACAATCAAATCCAATAGTAACCAATGATGAAATATTAGGTGGAGAACTATCATTGAGAAAAAGGAAGCAGTAAAAACAATATGCCTTATGTGTTGAAGGCGAATATTCCAACCAAGGAAACTGATTATACCAACATTCTTGAAATTGACGTTTCTGCTTTCCACATTCTTTGCTCTGATACTCCAAAAGTTTTGGTTGATAAGGTCCAACATTTAGAGAAGCCCGCCTAATCTGATCACATTCATTAAATGAATGTTCACATATTTGCTTTCTTTTTCCAAGATCTCGTTCAATAGAATCAGATGGTTCAAAATTAAGATTGGAAGATGAAGGTCGTTCAACTTCAGGGCATGAAATTGGAGGAATGGGCACCGTAGGAATTGGAGAATACTGAGATTTGTTACTTTTTGAAAAGAAAGACAATAAGGTTCTACCTTACTTGGTAGAAGGTCGATCTTCTTCCATATTAAATTTAAAAGCATAAAAATAAAAAGCAATTTAGGGACAAGTATTTCTATTTAATAGATATCATAATTACAGCAAGAAGAACAAGGAGGACAGATCAATTCATGAATAAAAAATAAATGCATATTTGACTCAAATAGATGGAACCATCAACAGAAAACATTTGAGCATACAACTTATTGATTGATTGATCCATCATACCACTTAACAATACTATTAAGCAGGAATTAACTATACAGTCAGCATTAGGATTATGAAATTCCCTTCAATAGAATGCATCTAATGTTGGGATGCAATCAAGCATTTCTTCACAAGGAAAGTATTACTTGATTAATATATATTTTTTCATATAATTGCAACCATATTAAAACCTGGTAATGTACTTCATTGAAATCATTCATCTGCCAATAGGAACATTTGAAGCAAACCCCCCCC